CCAACCCCGTCCAGTATACGCATCGTTTTGTCTGAGCCTGGGTCCGCCTACAAATAACATTGCCGCAACAAAGGACAAAGCCCCCTCAAGGGGAGGGAGTCTTTTTACTTTCATTTTTGGTATGGAATATCTTGGGCGGTACTGAGAGCTAGTGACCTGGGATATGGATTCTCCAGGCGGGATTGTGTAATGTTTTTTACCCCCCCCCCCACACAAAAAAAAAAACGTCAGCCTTGCTCGTCGCCCTCTCCTCGCAGGTGCCAAGCCCTGCACGGGCCAATTCCAAGGGAGCTGGTTGTGTGGCTTGTTTCGCTGCAAGCTCTGGCCTCGACTGGCCCAGCGAGCCCAGCAGGCGGTGCTCCACCTTTGTCTCGCCGCTGGGGGGTATCAGACCTCCTGACCCGGCGCTGTCAACCATGTTCTAGACTCCGGTTGAACAGGTCCCCATGCTGATGCATACCCGATTTGCATTTTGAGTATTTGAACACCCAAGCCAGGGACGTGCGACACCAAAGAAAATACCACTTTGCATTCCCTGCGCACGACAGGAAGACAGTTTCGTCCACTTTGTGCCAAAACCCCCTCTTTGGCAGACCCGGACTTGCTGGTTCAGCATCCAGTAGTCTCCAACCCGAGAACAGCGTTGCCCGTTCTCTGACAAGTCGCAATGGCTTCACGTCGCAACAGTCTTTCGCCTCCGGAGCGTCAGGGCACAGTCGACCCAGGTGCTCATGAACTAGGTATTATTCCCTCCGTTCCCTCCGCTGCGCCCCGCATTAGACTAACACCCACTCCAGCAGAGGCATCCGACTCCGAGGAGCACTACTCGGACGCCCAGTCCGTGCCCATGTCCCCCTCCCGAGCGTCGCCCATCCCGAAGACCAGAGTCGAAAAGGTCGACGATAAGCCGGCGTATGGGGAAGTCCCAGGTACGCAGGCCTATCGCTTGAGGGAAGGCGATGCGGAACCGGATGAGATAGCCATCATTCCCGACCCCAAAAACCCCCAAGAACCCGAGCCCGAGCACACATCGCCGTCACCTACACCCGGTGGGCACCCCATCCCAAAAACAGTGGTAGAGGAGACACCGGATGTTGAGGGCTCAGTGACACATGCAGAGAACAGGCAGAGGCGTATGTCGGATGCACACCCAGACCTGGTGGTCAAGGCCGACGGAAAGGTGGAAGCTGGTGGAGCAGCAAATGGTACGGATGCGTAGCCTGCTTTTGTGCCGAGCGGCCTCCCCTTGATTTTTTTCTCATTTCTCCATAGCTCGTATTGACATGTTCTCGATTGCGTAGATACTCCAATAGCATCGTCTCTGAATACTCCTACCACATCGGCACGCACGAGGAGGAAATCTTCGCTTGCCTTAAAACGGTCCCCATTAAGCCCCGGCCTCCCAGGGGATGAAAACGCCGTGGATGGGGATGAAGAGGATGACGATTTCGGGGATGACTTTGACGATTTCGAAGAGGGCGGCGAAGACGGCGATTTCGACGACGACTTCGACGACGGCTTCCAAACCCCCGCACAACAACCACCACCACAACCACCCCCATCCGCTCCGTCCGCTCCATCCCTTTCTTTCGTAAGCCGCCCCTCCCCACAACCTCCTTCCCACCAACCAACAACACATCACTAACCGCCCCGCCTCCTTCACAGCCAATCCCCACCTTCGAAGACCTGACCCCCTCCGAAATAACCACCCTCACCGAGCCCTACCTAACCGCGCTCTTCCCACCCCCCACCTCCTCACCATCACCTCCCCTCCCCACCCCCTCCGCCAAAGAAAACCCCATCTTCCTCACCCCGCGCTCCGCCTCCCTCTGGTCGCAGCTCGTCGCCCCGCCCCCGCTCCAACCCCCGGACTGGATCCGCTCCCGCATCCGGCGGCTCTTCCTCGTCTCGCTGGGCGTGCCCGTCGACCTGGACGAGATCCTGCCCGCGTCCTCCAAGCAGAAGAAGCTCGTGCTGCCGTCGCTGCACCGCACCAGTTCGTCGGGCTCGCTCAAGAGCCGCGCGTCGAGCGATTCGCGCGCCAAGACGGCGGCGGCGAGGGGGGCTGCGGCGGGTAATGGTGCTGGGGGGGATGGGAGGAAGGATTCGGGGGTGAGCTCTCCGGCGGGTGGTGGTAGTGGGGAGGGGGGGACAGGCGAGTGTGTCTCTCTACAGAGTGAGAAGGCGGATGGGGGTTGGTGTTGTTGGTGGAGGGGGGAGGGCCAATTTCCCGAAGCGAGCTTTGATTTGGTTTCTGCGCGGCAAGTGTGTATGTTGACGGATGCGGCGCTGGGGGGAATGACGGATGGGGAGTTGCGGGCGCATATTGGGAGGCTGGAGGCGATGCAAGGGACGGCGCAGGGGGTGTTGACATATTGGCAGAAGAGGACGGATGAGAAGATTGGGGATCGGGAGGCGTTCGAGGGAGTTATTGAGAATCTGGTCAAGCATGCGAAGAAAATGAGGAAGTAAGAGGGTGGTATACCAAAACGAGTTAATAGATGATGTGATGGATAGAGAAAAAAGAGGCCTGGCTTGGGCTACATTAACCAGGAGAGGTCAGCAGCACCATGTGGATACGGTTGGGAAAAAAAATCCCAGACAACGAGATGCTCGTCAACACTTTCTAACAACCAATTCCGCTGAATTTTCGTCTACCCATCCATCCTCGCGTGAAATGAAGAGGCATAGAGCGTGTTCATGTCCACCACATCCTTGGTATTTATTCGCCAAATCATGCAGTCCCAACCCGTTGTTCACTTGCACAAAACCCAGACCCGACAGATCCACGACCCCAAAGTCCTATCAGCCCGTCGTAGCTCATGCCCCCTCGTTGCAGTCGTAGAAAGGAAACGCACTTAGGAGGAGGTGCTAGGCTCGAGCGTGACACCGCTGCAATAATCATTAGTGATCGGATTTTCACACGTCAGTAGAGATAACTTACGCTGCGATAGTAGCCCAACCGATGAGACGCCAGTGCTTCTCAATACGCCGACTGAGGGCGACCTTCTCACCGATATTTGTGCATGCCGGGCTTGTGAGCTGGAGCTTGGCGGCATCCTTCTTGATGGCCACAACCTTGGCACCGGTCGAAGTAGAACCGATGTTCACCATGATGACCTCATTCTTGGCGAGCTTGTCAACCTTGGCCTGCTTGCCGTCGGCGGTACGGACACCGAGCAAGCGGCGAAGCAGGTAGAAGTTGACCTCGATCTCGCTGTAGATCTCGGGCAAGCGGCCCTTGAGGCCCAGCACGAAACCAACCAGACGATCGGCACGGCAGAGGGTAGGGTCGATACGGGTACCAACACCAATAAGGCCGCCAGGGACGGCGTACTTGAGGTCGTTGGCTTCCGAGTTGAGCGATACGATTCGGCTAAAGATGGGCGTGCACTTGAGGTTGCCCTTGTCGTCACGCGACACGATACCGGGCCGAATCTCAATCTCGTCGCCGAGCTTCAGCAGACCGTGCAAGATACTGCCACCAGCGACACCACCCTTGAGCTCGTCAATCTCGGCACCCGGCTTGTTGACATCGAAAGACCGAATAACAATCATGTGCGGGTCCATCGAGAAATCCCTAGGGGGGATAGGGATGGTGTTGACAATAGCATCGTTGATGGCGTCGATATTGAACTTGAGCTGGGCGGAAATAGGGATGATAGGCGACTTGCCAGCGACGGTACCCCTGATGAACTTCAAGATCGAGTCGTAGTGTTGCTTGGCAGCCTCTTCCCGCATGAGATCAACCTTGTTTTGGAGAATGATGATCTTGTCGAGCTTCATAATTTCAATAGCCGCCAAATGCTCGGATGTCTGTGGTTGCGGGCAGGATTCGTTGCCGGCAATGAGCAGCAGGGCAGCGTCCATGACGGCAGCGCCTGACAACATAGTGCTCATCAGAATATCGTGCCCGGGGCAGTCGACAAATCTATTCCCGTCAGTATAGCTCAGAGGATATCTCGAATATGTTGCTGCGCCGTCGCAGCATAGAAAATAGGGGTCTTACGAGACGTGACGTAGTAGCCTGTATGTCCCCGCGCAACCCTCCCGCTCGCAAGGAGGGTCGACCTCCTTCTCACTCTTGTAGCTCCGGTAGCATGTTGGCCGCGGGCACTCTGGGTTGTCGCACTGGTAGACCTTGGCATTGGCGTAACCAAGCTTGATGGTGATGTTACGGATAAGCTCGTTCTTGAAACGAACCGTCTGCACGCCAGAGATGGCCTTCACCACGGTCGACTTTCCGTGGGCGACGTGGCCAATGGTGCCAATGTTGATGGTCGCTTGGCGTGCGATAATTTCGGGTGTCAAAGGGTTCAAGGCCTTGACGTCGAGATCTTTAGGGTCGGTCTGGGGCGGCAGTGGCGGTCGCTGGACGGCGGGAACGACGTCGGCTGTCTTCTTGAGAGCGGACTTGATGGGCCGCTCCGAGATTTCGTTATCGGACTCGTGGGCCTCAATCTGGGACTCGTTGCCGGAGTCGGACTCCGACTCGATGTCGTTGCCGAACTTGTCTCCGTTGGCCGCCATGGTGATGACTCTTTCCGCGGGGTAATGATTTTTTTCGAGCCCCTCTCTAAATATTTATTTGCTCTCTCGGACCGGTTTGCCGGGGTGAGCGATGATTAACTGAAATACCCAATTGCGGGATGAACGAGGTCGCTGGATCGGTGGTGGTGGAGATTAGGTTGTCTTGGAGGAGACCGCTGGGAGAATGACTGACAGTTGATATTTCTCACGATTTTCGTGTGCAGTCATACTTGGGTCGGCCTGACGCTCAATCCTGGCTGGGCGAGGTGCTGAAGAGACGCTAGTCCTTATGCGGCTAGTCGGTTTTGCCCCACGCTGACCGATAAGGACGATAAAAGGTAGAGGGGCGAGAGGGGTTGAAGAGGGACTTGGTCACAACCACAAAATGTTAAGCACTGGCTATTGTTTTCTGAGAAAGGATTGCAGTTAGATCCATCAACTTTGGCCTCTCTTTTTACCGGACTGGACTGAGATTATTCAAGTTACTGCTCTGACGAGCTGGTACGGTTTGCGAATTCTCGATGCCTTACAAGTGCAAGCGACCCGCAGGCCCCATATCATTGTTAGTTACCTCTTGTTGCTTTGCAATACTCATCCATGTTCAGATGAATCGAGGGCCTCATTTCCGGGATACATGGAAACTACCATATCAATGCGTTCCATCCTCTCGGCAATGACCACTGTCTGGGGCCAAACGTCTCCTGGTGGCTTCCAAAACAATCGGAAGTCGACGATCTTTCCTAGAAGGTGTTTTATAAACCCAATGACATGGCAGGGCTGGTTGGCGTTCTTAGAAGAGTTGAGGCCGTAAATTTTTGACGTCAAATTTGAGCGATTCAACGAACACCACAGAAACACTGTCTCTATAGGTAATTTACGCTTCATCAAATAATGCCTGGGCTTTTGTGAAGCTTCAATGACACCCGCTTGTGTCTTCAGATGGTCCCGTTTTATCACTAGTCGCAAAATACATATGAAGAAAGCCAATTCTGATCCAGCACCTGTGAAATTCTGAGGGTCGTTGTCATTCATGTTCTTAGTACCACGACTGGATTCCTGAAATAAAGGTATCAAAAGCTCCTCGGCTGGGGTTGGGGTGGTTTGCTTATAAGCCACTTCCATGGAATGACGGCTTTCAACCCTAGACAAATTGGCAGGCGGTGCTGTTCAGCTCGAGGCTGAGCTGTCAACAGCTGGAATGAATACACGAGGGCAGGCGCAGTCTCAGACCTGAGCAAACAGCTGAGCTCCGTGGCATCACTCTCGGTCGCCACCGGTACTTCCCCGAGACTGTCGATCTGCACAACACGGGCCTCTCACGATCCCCGGGCCCAGGCATCGCAATCTATCCGAAGCCTCTCGGGACCCGACAAGGGGTCTGATCTCGATGTCGACGACAGGCCAAGGGTTGATCATGACAAATTCATCTACAATGTGCTCTTGCGTGGTCCCTCTGTTCCACGGCAGACGGAATGTGGTACTACTAGCCAGCCGCCGCACATATCAACGCCATCCCACTGCCTGCTTGCTTGCTTCTTGGTAACGCTGTTGGAGGTTGTCTATTTGGAGTGAAAATCCGTCCCGCAACCTCGTTTGCAGGGTAGAAGGGAAGGATGGGCAGACACGTGCAGAGTGCCGAGCCGTGGGAAATCGTCCGGGAGAGGCGCCCCTGGCGTTCATTGTTCCTGGTGATAACGACGCAACCCGTTCCGGCAGCTTGGAGACCCTCGAGGTGACGGAAGGAGGGGTTAATTGACCATTTTCGCCGCCCGCCCGCCGATGATGTGGGCAATATCGAAAAGAGGGCTAAAAATATAGAAGGTGGGTGGGCAAAAGTATGGTACGGTGTGCGGTGGTCATGCAATGGGACGGCCATGTTTCCAAAATTTGCCCAATATTCTTCCCAACAGCACCGACCTTGTGCGTGAAGGACTGCCTCAATCAAGATCTGTTCATCCATATTGATATGCGTTGCTGACGACTGCTGACTGCAGGAAGCAACTAATTTCAGATATTTGTGTTATTAGGTAGGCGTGGTGGTAGTTTACCTGTGAGGTCATCCGAAAGGACACTCCTTTCGGAATCATAAGGGTATCGAGGATGAAGGCGATAGTAATGGTCGGCCTGGGAGAGGAAGACTTATGAGGGTATCGTGTGAGGGGCTGAAGAAAACAGAAACGAGAAAACTGCGCAAATAACCAGGCGATGGCTTGGTGGACTGTGTGTGTAACGCTGGCTGAGTTTGGTTCCTGGTCAGTTACCTGCGGGAAGGCGAGGTTAGGTGTGCTGGGGAAACATGCTCGGCAGAGACGAGGTCGGCCGCTGTGGGGCGCGGTTTACCGCCCACCTGCATGACCGGCAGGTCCATCACGGCGATCAGCGATATGATTGGCCATCTGTTTTCAAGCAATCCGGAATCCACTCACTGTGACGCCTATGATTGGCCGCACTCGTGGGAGATGGGTGACAGGGTTCGACGGTTGCTTCCTCTTGCCGCCCAACCACAGCTGCAATTCCCCCGCCTTCACTTCCTCAATCGCCTTGGCGGGTGTTTGCCATGGTCTCGGCGGCCAACCTGACTGTCCAATTCGGCGGAACTGGCCCTGACTTCCAGCCCGCAGCGCCCGGCCCCCATCCAATGGACCTGCACAACTGCTGATGCGAGTCTGGGCTGCGACGACATGGGCGCCAAGGGCGAGAGGAGAGGGCGAGCTGCACACAGTTTTCCCGTTTTCGTCTTGTTCGTCTGCCTCGCTTCCATCATGGCGGCCGTTCAGACAGCGCACATGGGTAACTTCTAGGCATCTCGAGGCAGTTGGAGTCATTGGAGATGATGGTCTGCTTGAAAACAAGAGTCATAATCTAAAAACGGGAAAAGGTGCAAGGCGTTCCGAGACAGGTCACCGTTGGGGGCAATCCAGATCACTGTGTCCCCTGTCTCCCGCCGTCTGCAAGACCTTTGGCACACCGTAACCCTCCCAGTCTGGCCCGTTGAACCAGACTTGCTATTCTTGTTGATCCAGCCCCTCCTTCGGCCGCGGGATACATACCCCCATGTCTCCCATGGGTTTTCTGCGCCAGAAGCCCCCGTCGTTTCGAGGATCTTCGGCTTTCCTTTATCCCCCTCATTCCTCGCACACCTCCCCATTGTGAAGCTGTACTAGACAAGACACGACGAAGCCCGCTCGCCGAGACAGAAACAGCAACAGACCGAGTCATTTTCTTGCGTGGCCCCTTGCTCCTGTAACCGGCATCTGCAGGCCGTGGCCACTTTCTGGGCCGCCGAGCTTCGACTAGCAGCCGTCCAGCGTCGTCCCGTCACTCCGCTGGGCGTCTAAGTTCCCTTCGCGAGTCGCCGAGCTTGATTGGCACCTCGACCCTCCGCCCTATCAGCGTGCCCAACACCCCCAGCGCCATCCCGACCCCCCTGCTCCGTGTAAGTGTTCCCAGCGGCTTCGAGTGCACCCATCGAACCACCCGCTCATGCTGCCATGCAGTAGCGGATCCCGCTCAAGCCGGACCTGGTGTGTCCAGCGCCAATTCAAAACCATCACGAGCCCCGGAGGGCGCTTCTGCTTCGGGATCCCTCTTCCTTTAGCAGCTGGACTCATATCAACCAACCCTTCCTCTTGGTTCCCTTCTACCCCCAAAGCTTGCCACCGGTTTCAGCACTCCCTCCTTTGTGACCGTCCTGTCGCGCAACGCTGGTATCTGAAGAAGTGAAGACTGGTCTCTTCCCTTCCTTTATTTATTCTTCTATCATACACGTGCAAAGAAAAAAAAAAGGCAACAAAGAAACGACCGGTAACGTCCTCGACGCCGTTTTCCGCCGACCATGGGTCTCGACGAGAAGAAGCGGCCCACGGCCCTCAACCTTACACCAGCCCGCACCATGTCGGCCAGTTCAGTTTCCACCACAGATTCCACATCCACATCATCATCACTAGCAAAACCCCCAAGGACACCACGGTTTGCCGAAGCAACCGCAGTCAACTCGCCCGTAGAGCCCCGGAAGCTCCCCTTCTCTGAGAAACAGCCACAAGTCGCCCATGCACAACCAGGAGATGTCGGTTTTGGTTATATTGGGACTGGGAACAGGGACTCGTCGGCCGACGTGCCCATGCCGCCGAAGTCGCCTTTGAAGAGCGCAATGAAGGTGCCCGGGACACCGGGGCGCGCCTTGCAGAACCCGTTGAGCCCGACATTCAGGGAAGAGCAGGTATTGGAATCGAGGGAGAAGGCGACCGACAAGCAGCAGGCGAAGGATCTGGTAAGCCAGCAAGCAACATGGATCGTGACCAGAGTAGCCCCGGAAACTAACAACCCCACAGAAAATCAAGACACGGGTACGGATGGCCAAGTTCGCCCTGCGCGGTGTCAGCTTCAGCTGCAGTCTCATCATCCTGGCCATGATCTCGGCCTCGTTCTCCATCTTCCACGCCACCAAGGCCCTCCCCGCGATGAGCGGGATGCCGGCATGGGCTGAAAACACCGACGCCAACGCGTGGCCGCAAAAAGTGGTCCTCGCCTGTTCCTGCGTCTCGCTCCTCATCTGCATCGTCATCTTCATCGGCTACTGCCGCGGCGGCCACCGCAGGGCCGAGAAGGTCGGCGTCTACTACACCCTGTTCGCGGTCGGCTGGTTCATCTTCAGCATGGCCATGTGGGCCATGGCGGCCGGCGTGCTCCAGGTCTCCCGGAACAGCAGCGAGAACAAGGACATGTGGGGCTGGGCGTGCGTGGACAACCGGCGGTCGAACCTCTTCGGCGACAAGGTCGACTACGCGCTCGTGTGCCGCCTGCAGGACTGGAGCCTGATCTGCATCATCATCGAGCTGGTCGTCGAGATCATCAGCATCGCGCTCTACAGCATCGTCTTCTACCGCTACTGGTCCAAGCGCAAGCTGCGCAAGTCCATGGACGTCCGCGACAAGGCCCGCTCCGACCTCTACCTCGCCCAACTCCGCACCCAGTCCGCCCCCAACACCCCCGGCTTCGGCCCCAAATCCCCCGCCTTCTCCCAATACGCCATGTCCCCGCGCTTCCCGCCCTCCGCCTACAAATCCCTCGGCGACATCGAAGAGGGCTCGCCCTTCACCCCGGGCGGCAAGGGGCTCGTCATCCCGCCCTCCTCCTTCTCCCCCAGCCAAGCGGGCTTCAAGCTCCAAGCGCCCCCGCTCAAGGCCAACAAAGCCACGCCCGCGACCCCCAAGGCCGGGTACAAGCCGCCGACGGCGGCGGACCTGTCGCCCGCGACGCCGACGGCGCCCGCGCTGCCGCCGGCCGTCACCGTCACCGTGCACGACCACGCCCCGACCGCCGAGGGCGAGCAGCAGTACGAGGCTGTGCCCATCCCCGGCGCCTACGCCGGCCAGGCCGTCAAGAGCCCCCCGCCCCTGCAGACCACTTTCAACCTGCCGCCGGGTCCGGGCGGCGCTGGACGGTATGCTTGAGTGGACGGAGGTGGCGTATATACGCTCATTTGTGTTGAGGTGTTTGTTTTCTTCTTCTTGTTGCTGGGAGGGGCCCGACAGTCTGGGTTTAGCCTCCCTTCTTCTTTTCTTTTTTTACCTTTTATTTTCTTTGCGTTTGCTCTTGAGATTGTTGGACATTAGTGGCGTTGCGGGCGAATACCAAACAAAGCGGGCTGGGACTCTTCGAGTGGGGGTTGGGCGATTTACGGCTGTAATGTGTGGGCGGGGAATGTGTGTGTTGTGTATAAGTAACCGAATTGTGGTACGTGGATGATGACGATGGGTGGATGAAGTCTAGACAGACACTGAGATATTCAAATGACACTGCCGTTGGTCGTCAACTTTACTTCAGTTCTTGAGTTGTGATTATGGTCTTTCTGACTGTGAAATGCGGGTTACGATAGATGATGGAAAGAAGCTTTTCTTCAGGTGCAAACATGCCTTGGCGAGCTGTTTCTTGAAGCTTAAGCCAACGACACTGAATGGATAACCGAGTCCCTCGTGGAGGAGGCTCGGGCGTTGAGAGGCACAGGGACAGTGCCTTAACGACATTGCCAACGCTGATCAGGGGGGAAGGAGGGTCCGTTGGATAAACACGCTCGAAGCGATTGACGATGTGAGCGACTCAGAGCGCGCTTCGGGCCCCTGAATTAATCGCTGCGATCTCGCCAAGCAGGAACCTGGCCCCCTGTCGCCTTGAGATGAGATGACATGATGCGACACTAACAATTTCTTAAAATTTCCACTTTCAATCCCCTGCACCACGAACTAACACCATACCTTGACCACCTCTTGTTTCCTTCTCAGTCGGACGAACAGTCGAACCGCTGGCCAAGTAAAGCAGTCGACTTACTCACGCGTTAGAAAAGCCAACCGACGAACAATCAACCCGCGTCATCGTGCAGATCGAGTGCAACGCCTTGGAACGCAACAATGGCAGCGACTGCTTCTAGCCGCCAAGCTTGGCGCCAGCTGATGGGCAACACCAGCCGCGGACCTGCTTCGAACATCCTGCGCCAGCAGCAACAACAATACCGATCCGCCTTCTGCCGACAGATCTCTTCTACAACACGGGCTTCCTCCCGCCGCACCGTATCGCAACCCCCGTCCTTCGCTCTCCGCCAACAACCGCTCGCCCAACGCTCGTACAGCTCTGGTTCGCAGGGGAAGAATACCCCGCCAAAGGGCAGCAACAACCAGGTCAAATTCTGGCCGTTTTTGATCGTCATTGCGCTTGGCTCTGGGGGTTATATGCTTCTGATCAACAGGCAGACCAGTGAGTTGCCACCCACTCAATAACCCGCGTTGGAGAAGTGGTAAAAGGATAGGGGGCAGCTGACAGTGGCACGCCGTTTCACAAGAGACGATCACGTCTTCCTACCTGTCCCACTCCCTTTCCCTCTTCTCCTGCTCCCATACTCCTCTCGCATCCCCAACCTATCATTCCTCCCACCAGACCATCACTAACCGCCCTCACCCCCAGAAATGCCTCCCACCACTAGCAACACCACCACCGACGGCCGGTCAACGCCCGCCTTCTCCCCCGCCGACGTAACCGTCCTCTTCGTGCTGGGCGGCCCCGGCGCGGGAAAGGGCACGCAGTGCGCGCGCCTGGTCCGCGACTACCACTTCACGCACCTGTCGGCGGGCGACCTGCTGCGAGCAGAACAAGACCGGCCCGGCAGCCAGTACGGGCAGCTGATCCGCGACTGCATCAAGAACGGGGACATTGTGCCGATGGAGGTGACGGTGGCGCTGCTGGAGAACGCGATGCGCGATGCGATCCAGGCCTCTGGCGGTCGTAATGGAAAATTCCTGATTGACGGCTTCCCGCGCAAGATGGACCAGGCGCTCAAGTTCGAGGAGGTGGTGTGCCCGGCCAAGCTGGTGCTCTTCTACGACTGCCCCGAGGCCGAGATGGAGCGGCGCCTGCTGGAGCGTGGCAAGACGAGCGGCCGCGCCGACGACAACGCCGAGAGTATCCGCAAGCGCTTCCGCACCTTTGTCGAGACCAGTATGCCGGTTGTGGACCACTACGAGAAGGAGAACCGCGTCGTCAAGGTCAACGCCACGGATACGCCTGACGGCGTCTACGCTGATACCCAAGCGCGTCTGAGGAAGGTTTTGGGGGACAAGTTCTGAGCGGGATTGTCTTGGGACGGTTCGGGGGTTTTTGGTATAGACTAGACGGAGCGGGCATTGAGTGGGAGGGTCGCGGATGTTAATCACCATTTTCACCATTTCTTGGTCTTTGTTTGTTACGAGTAGAGCGGATCGTTTGCTTTACTTCTTTTTTTTTTTTTCCTTTTGTGGAACTTTGAGCTCTACTGTAATCCTCAGTAACAAGTAGTCCCATGTCCCAGTACTAGGGAAGCACCAATGTCCCAGGTGCCTCGTAATTCATACATTGTCCGCAAGCCATACACCCGTACCCTCCAGCCCCCATGTGCAAGACCCAAGCCGGTCAGCGGAGAAAGGTGCCTTGGATATCTATCGTCCATGTGAAAATGAGCACCCGTTGCGCGTCTACCTTTTGCCCTTTTGGTTCCAACTCCAGTACCAAATTAAGCAAAAGTGCAATGACCCCGTCCATGTCCTCCAGACCTATGTCGTTCAGTCATCCTCATCAGTGCGCGGCTTCTGCTGGCGGCGCCGATCACCGCCGGGGCCGCCGCCCATGCCAGCGCCAGCCAACTTCCGCTCGAGCTCCTGCTGCTCGCGTTCACGCTGACCTTCCACGTCGGCCTGGCCCTTACGCAGGAAGACGAGCAGCTGGTCGACGATGGACTTGTACTGGTCAACCCTGGTGGCAAGCTCGCGCCACTGCTTCTCGCCAAACACACGGTAGGTGGTACGGTGCACCAGGAAGACCTTTTGTTGCTGCGACAACCTCCCCTCGACAAGCTTGGCCCTGACCACATCGATCGTCCACATCTCCACTTCCTCCGAGGGAATCTGCAGCGCCTTGGCGATGTTGGCGTACGGGATCTCGCGGTTGGGAGTGCTGGCAGCCAGGCTGGCAAAGGTGAGCAGCCGCATCTTGCGCTGCAGCTTCTCATTGTCGAGCTTCTCCTTCTCGACCCAACCCTCGTGCTCGTCCTTGAAGTCGTTGTAATCCTCCAGGTCCTGCTCAATGAAAATATCCAGCAGTTGTGAATAGACGGGGTGCGAATCCCCAAGCGCTTGTACACTGGGAAGGATGCGTAGGTCTTGGAAGTCGAACCGGGCGGGGTGCGAGATGGCCAAGCGGACGGCCTTCAGGGAGAGCTTTTGGGCCTCCTCGGACGTAATTTCGTCTTGGTCTTCGCGGCCAAAGGTAGCGATGGCCTTAATGAGGTAGCGGTACGAATCCCTGCGGTGCCCGTCGTCAGCAATAAATCTACATCGGTTGGCTCAACAGTACTACTCACTCGTCATCGCCGGCCTCGGCCGCCGTATCCGACACCTCAACATACAGCCTCCGCTGGTCCTCGTCGCTCGTGTTCCATAGGTTGAACCAGCCTTCCAAATTCTCCAACCGCGGCTTGAGCAGGTCGTATTGACCGTGCTGCCGAATGAAGCGTGTGATCTGTAGCAGCACATTGAACCGAGTGGGGTTGTCCGGCTCGAGAAGGTTGAATACCGTGCTCAGGGCATTGGCGGCGAGAGTAAAACCGTGGGCCGGGGACGATGTGATGGGCTTCTGGAGGTTGCCGCACAGGGGAGGCAGATATTTCAGGGGATCCTTGGACTGCAGGACCAAATGAATGAGGAGGTTGTAAGCGCCGGTAAATTCCTTTTCGGGGATCGAATTGAGAACATGCGAGGCCTCGATGATCGCCTGTAGTGCCTCTTCGTTCTGCTCCTTGGCCAGATACGGCTTCACCTGCTCGCCGATTTGGACGTACTCGGCCATCTCCTGCGCCAGCTCGGCGAAGGTGCCATCGACGAAAATTAACTGAGGGGCCGCCATGTTGCTGACGACAAACCCAGTCATTCGGGGTCTCTGTCTGCCGTAAAATTCAAGGTACTCGGTCGCGCCTCTGACAACGTCTGTGGCGTGGCTACAGTAGAAACTATCGAGCAACCGGCTGTAGCTGTGCGGTGTGAGTGTTCGACACTTGACAGGCTCGAGTTTAGGTGCAGGCTCCGAGTCGGAAATGGGCGACTCTCGATTGTTGTCGGACTCTTCAGGGATTGCTGGAGGGGTCCTGGCGTCGTAAAAATCGTAGGGGGTACGAGGGCCCGGTGGGAGCTGGTGTCGAACCGGAGGCTTGGGTTTCTTTCCCTTTGCTGCTTTGGCCTCCTCTGCCTCTCGACTGGCAGAATTTCCCTGCCCCGCATTCGTCGCCATTTTTTCCCTTTGCCTGGATGTTCTGTGCGGCGATAATCACGTGTAAGATGCGCTAGTCGAAAAGCGGTAACTTAAGCGATCAGCTTGGTGATGATTTTCAGATGGCAATGGTGGGGCAGGGTGGGCTGCTGGTGGTGGGATCGTCAAGAGTCGAGAACCGTTGTACACCCACCTGCTGACCACAACGACAACTCGCCATCATCTTTGTTTTGTTTTCCAAGGTTTTGGCAACTTTGTGCCTGAATTCACCTATAAGAAACAAACAATGATGGCTTTGAAATAATAGTTCAACAGGACAATGTATTTCATCCCAACCCAACAGGCGGGAGAGAGTACCTTTACCTGTCTGAGCCCATGCGAACTTTTCTCTCCATGGCCATTTGACCCCATCGGTTCTAAACTACCTCTATACCTACCTGATGTAGGAATGACCTTTAGAAATTGCGTGTGTGATGGAAGAGTCCCAGGCCCATCTTCCTCCAGAGCATTACTGGGGCCGTGGCGGAGGGGTGGCAGTGGTGACTGGGCTGTTTTTCAAGGTGCGCGCTGCAAGCGCCAATCTGCCCTGGACTGGGTACCGTCCAACTCGTAACTTCTAGATTGTAAGATGAGAATGGCCACCACAACAATACGGCTCAAGACACCGAATAGTAGTGGGATTGAGAATGGAATGCAGGTAGCATGGAATGTTTTGCATCGCTCCCAAATCTATGGTGATTATTCGTCTGTCTCGAATATCCCGGGAATAGGTGCCGACACTGTATTTCTCCGCCATGCGATCGATAGGTCGAGTCACGGCAAAGACTCGGTGGGTGACCACTTGACCCCCGCGATCCAGTCATGACCACATTTGCACATTCCAATTGCCAGCCCTACCGCGCCGGGAGTCGAACAACCTGCATCGCCAAGACCTCTAGAGCTTGGATGCACTCAAGCAGTGCAGCGGATCATTCTCAGGCCCGTCCAGTCACCCCGGTAAGCAGGGGCGGCCCGTGAACCCCAGGTGTGAGTGGTCCAACCAGGCAGGGCCTCCGAGACCCGTCGCGGCTGCCCCGGTCGACTCCATTTCCAAGCTCGAATGATGAGCACCCGTGGTTGCTTCTGCTGAGCCTTCCCACGAGGCCTCGCGCATTTTCCAGGCACTTCAAACAGGCTCCCACATCCACATCCACACCCACAACCCTTCCATTTGCCACCCCGCTGCCCACACTTGTCTGGGGGGGGAATTGCACACTGCGCCGCATCGATTTGCTACATAAGGAAACCATTTGGCGACGAGTTGCTGTCGTCTCGGCTTCTGCAACCATGGCTCCACGAGCTGAAGGCAGCCACCTGAAGCGAAGCCGCGTACCGGTAGGTGCCTACTCGCTATTCTATTTGCGAGCACCCTGTACTCGATGGCGTCGCGCCCGCCTGGAACGCTCCGCCGATTAATCTTCTGGTTGCAGGGTTCGCCGGTCGACGGGCAAGAATCTTTCAAGAAGCCGCGCCGCTCCGAGCGTCTGTCGCAGCGCGCTGACACCGCCGCCGATCATGACGGTCTTAAAACCCCGGTGCAGAACCGCCACCACCTCCCCTCGCCAGTGACGCACCTTACGAACGAGAGCACCGCCGAGTTTGACAAGGAAACCACGGCTACGCCTCCTCAAGACCACACCGCCGAGGAGACCTTTTCGCAGGGACTGGCTTTCAGCTCCCCTCCGCAGGACACCCAAGCATTTAGCCAACAGGACTTTGACCCCAATGCCCCACTCGTCGAGGGGGTTGATGAGATCAAGGAAGGTGTCTGGGGCTATCTCCTACCGCTTGACACTCGCTTCGTGCGAGCGCCCGTGGTGTTCAAGAAAAAAGGGGTGTGCCCGCCACCCTCAGCAACGGCTGAGTCTCCCGCTGCCGCGGTCACGAAAAACGGTAGCAAAAAGGGCCAAAAAGGGTCAACAAAAGAACAAGAGCAAAAGGGCGGCTCACCAGCCTCTGGGGGATATGTTCTTGGGCGGCACCCGGAATGCGGTAAGTTCTGACGAAATTCATGGCTTTCGCGCAGCTATGGAGAGAAAAATACTAAACCACTCGCAGACATCAGAGTCAACGACAGGCAAGTTTCGAACCGGCATCTCTTGATCTTCGCCGAGAATAAACGCAACGACACGGTTGCCGTGCTGGAGGATATTTCGAGCAACGGCACCAAGGTCAATGGTGCTACCATGCAACGAAACGACCGGCGGGAACTACGGGAGGGTGACGAGATCTGGGTCACCAGTGCCAGCGCGGGCTTCATATTTCGCTATCCCAGATGTCGGCACGGGAAACCCTTTGCTCAGCAGTACGCAATGAAGCAGGAGCTAGGAAGCGGCCACTTTGCCCAGGTGTTCCTGTGCAACGAAAAGTCCACGGGCGACTGCTATGCCGTCAAGAGATTTACCAAGAAGCCAGACGTGGACGAGAAAGCCAAGTACGATGGCCTGCACCAGGAAGTCGCCATGCTTATGGGCATCAGCCACCCCAACATCCTGTGCCTCAAGGAGACCTTCAACGAACCCGAGGCCGTCTATGTGGTGTTGGAATTGGCGCCCGAAGGGGAACTTTTCCAGTACATTACGGAGCACAAGCAGTTGAGCGAGGCCGAATGCCGCAAGGTGTTTCTCCAACTGTTCGAGGGCATCAAATATCTGGTAAGCACTTTTTTTTCCCCGCTTACCGGTTATCCCGTGCGAGATGCATCACTTACACGGCACGCAGCATGACCGCAATATGGTTCACCGGGATATCAAGCCCGAGAACATCCTCTTGATGGACAACGACTTGACCGTCAAGATTGGCGATTTCGGTCTTGCCAAGATTGTCGGCGAGGCCTCTTTCACCACGACGCTCTGCGGCACGCCCAGCTATGTGGCGCCCGAAATCCTTGTTAACAACAAGTCCCGCAGGTACACCAAGGCAGTCGACATCTGGTCTCTCGGCGTGGTGCTCTACATTTGCCTCTGCGGCTTCCCCCCATTTTCCGACGAGCTGAGGAGGCCCGATTTCCCCTACGACCTGTCGGACCAGATCCGGAGAGGGCTCTTTGACTATCCCTCGCCATACTGGGACCCTGTCGGCGACCCGGCTCGTACGTCCCCCTGACCGAATTAACCCCCTCGCGCTGGTTGAGTTGAGATTTTGCTAACCCAGGCCTTAGTCGACCTCATTGACAGCATGCTGGTCGTGGACCCCGAAAAGCGCTTCACCGTCGACCAGTGCCTCGCGCATCCTTGGCTCACGCAGAAGCCGCCCGGCGTTAACGACAGCACTAACGGTCTTGTCTCGGGCCTCGCCGGGCTGGAAATGAGCCGCCGCGCCCCTTTTAGGGAACGTACGCTAATCAGTTCCATCAATACGTACAGGGTGGCGGAGCGCGTCCCTGCCGGCGCGGGCAAACCCGACGTCAAGGTTTACGCGAAAAACACCAAGGGTCCGATGGGGGCACCACCGACGCCTAAGAGGGAGATGCGGCCGGACGACAATCGCGACCCTAGCGAGTTTATGGAGATGGGTGGGAAGGGTGACCAAGAGTTGTTCGGCAACGATGGGGGCAGCCGGTATCCGACTAAGGACATCGCCGGGACGGGGCCGGCGGGGACGGAGGGGAAGGTAAAGGGAAAGGGTAAGGCTAAAGGGGGACGCTAAGCGGTTGGTGCGGTGGTGTTACAGGATTGTGGTGTTTGGTGATGTGGGATATTTAGCCACGGCGTGGCCGAGGGTCGTCGCCTGGTTCATAATTGTGGGTTTTTGTGTGGGTTTATTTCGGGTTATTTCTTTCCAGCATGTCTGTCTAGTCCCTGGTTAGCATGGGAGGTTGTCAGATTTTTTACTCTTCGGGTTCTGTGTTAAGTTAACGGGATTTCCTACATTATCATCTCTGGTTATAGGCCTGAGGAAAAATCCAAGTCAATGGAATTCTATTTTTAGAGAGTCGGGCGGTCGAGTTCACGGCGGTTGGGAGTGGTTTGTTGGTGTTTGTAGGTTCGAGATCGGTCTGTGTTTGTCATCATGTTGACATCATTTGATCTTATCGTCGATTTCATGTCTTAACACGCCCTTCACCTTCAACATTTACAATCATGGTGTTCAAAACTCATTCCTTGCGCCCTTCATTGGCCACACTCATGGACGATTGGTGTGGGATTATTCAGCACCACTTTGTCATTGGAATCTGCATTTCCCATTTTGGCAATTGACTTATACCATTGTGAAACACGCAAAGACAGAAGTCGATGTCTATAAAGCAAACCTCGGCATCGCACTTCAAGGTTTTGATTTCCATATCATCAACCCGACCATTTACCATCCATCTCAAAACAACAGTCCGCAAATCATTCCAATAAACCACCATCAGCCCCAACACCATGTCCTCCTCCTCCAACAACAACAACCACACCGAACCCACCACCATGAAAGCAATCCTCATCACCCGCCCCGGCCCCCCCTCCACGCTGCAAATCCACACCGACCTCCCCCTGCCCCAGCCCACCCCGGGCACCGTCCGCATCCGCATCCGCGCCTTTGGCGTCAACCACGCCGAGATGCACATGCGCCGCGGCGAGTGGGCCGAGTCCGTCCCCATCAGCGGCATCGAGTGTGTCGGCACGGTGGACGCCTGCCCCGGGGGCGAGTTTGCGGTGGGCGAGCCGGTGGCCGCGATCATGGGGGGGATGGGCAGGACCGTGCCGGGGAGTTATGCGCAGTTTACGGTGGTGAGGGTGGGGAATGTGGTCGCGCTTGGGAACGGGGCTGTGGAGGGGGATGGGGGGGAGTTGTCGTTGCCGCTGTCGTGGGCGGAGCTGGCCGCGCTGCCGGAGTCGTATTGCACTGCGTGGACGTGTTTGTTTAGGAATCTGGCGCTGCAGCGCGGGCAGCGGTTGTTGATTCGGGGGGCGACGTCGGCGTTTGGGCGGGCTGCGTCCAACTTGGCGGTGGAGGCGGGCGCGGTGGTTACGGGCACGACGAGGAGCGAGGCCAAGTTTGCCGAGTTGAGGGCGCTTGGGGTGGCGGATGTGGTGTTGGAGGGGCCTGGGCTGCCGGAGAGGCTGAGGGAGAGCGGGAGGGCTGGGGAGAAGTTTGATCGGGTGCTGGAGCTCGTCGGGAACAGCACGGTTGTTGAGTCGCTGACGCTGGTGAAGAGGGATGGGAGGGTCTGTCTGGCTGGGTGGCTTGGGGGGTTGGATCCTATCAAGGACTTCAACCCGTTGCTGCAGATGGCCAGCGGGGTGCACTTGAACTTCTTTGGCAGCTTTGTCTTTGGGAATCCCGAGTTCCCATTGTCGGATGTGCCGCTTAACAGCATCGTACGGGCCGTGGCGGATGGCAAGTTTGACGCGAAGCCGTTCAAGGTGTTTAGATTCGACGAGATTCAGGAGGCTCACCAGTATATGGAGGATGGACGGGCAGCAGGAAAGATGGTCGTGGTTGTGGACTAAGTAATGGGATGGATGGTACCCCGTGGGCAAAAAAGCCAAACCTCAAGTGTAGTTGCCGAAGTGACCTTTCGTCTACAGGAACGAAAGGAAAGTCATGCAGAACCCAAAGTGTACTTACCATTTGACTCGGTTCGTTGTATCTGATTCCCTTTGCTCGGTTTTCTTGACATCTCTATCTTTTCTTGATTTTCTTTACTACTTTCTCTTGTATTCTTTTCTATTCTTCTTTCGAGCTCAGGTTTTTTTCGGCGAGAGAGTTGATGGTGAGAATGAAGAGGTGGAATAGTTCTGGACTAAAACAAATATTTACACGGCACAGCTCTTCATTATCGGCACACAACACTTGATGGTTAAAAGTATAAAATATCTATCCGTTACATCGTACCCACTACTCGTGATTTGTCCCCCAGGGATCATCTTGCTCATCGTCGTCCGGCACACAGGCCAAAACAGACATATGGATGGGTTGCCTGTTCCGGTCCAACTGTACTGTAACATCTTTCAATATCGTTCTCACCTCAGCCCTCCATTGGCCACGATGCCAATCCGGGAATTCCAGTTCCGTCCCCGACATGAAATAGCGGAAAAAAGCCGAATAGAACGTAACATTGCGTCCACGGAACTTCGGTCGAGGCCTCCACGGGCCGTTGAGTGAATCCTTGGGTCTGGGCTTCAGCGTCGGATCAATAATATAGATGGTCTTGAGTCGGGGATAACGGACAGGCAGACTCTCCAGGCCCCGTTTGAACTCAGCACATAGTTCTGTCGGGGGTTCTATTCGGACCGGGTTGTTCATGTGATTCAGCCCGCGCCGCGCTTCAAAGTTCCTGCACATGGCCGGATGCCATACCCCAACCAGCACCTCGCACTGCGCCAGGGCCGGGAGTAGGCCCCTCAAGCCACTCGCTCCGGCCAACATCCCATCGTCACACCTCCCTCCCTCCCTCGCAATCCCGATCCATTCCTCTCCTCCAGGAAATGGACTTAGGTGGTCGTGAATGGAGTTCTGGCCGCATACTTCTTCTGTATGGGTTCTTATGCCCGAACCCCTCTTCCAGAACTTTAGCATATCCCGCCAGCCGATGGGCGAGCCATCCGCGCGGACATTGACAAAGCCGCAGACATCGCCCTTACCCAGGCCAATCAACGCCTCCCGGCCCACCGCCATCGCCACACCATCCTCACCATCCTCACCATCACCACCATCACCACCATTCATCGACCGACCCAACGCATCCGCAGCCGCAGTAGCCTCGGCACACGACCCGGCCACCTCGCCACGGCACCAGCCGCCCGAGAACTGGGCGCCCGTGCCCGGCGCCCGCCCCGGCGGCATCAGCACGATACGCGACCGGGCATGTTCCCAGACGGCCTCCTGCGCCTCGGCGGTCCGCGCACGCTGCCACGCCCACACCGCTTCCACGGAGAGCTGTGGTGGCTGATGGCCCTCGTGTACCAACCCGGCGGTATTCGCGACAGCATTAGGAGCAGGAAGCTCGGCCCAGTTGGCGCCGTATCGTGCTGTGAGGTAGGTGTTTGTGTTGGTGAAGGGTTCTTCGTTGGGGAGTTTGTGGAAGGGGATGATGTGCAGTCTGGGAAGTGGCTTGGGAGCGGTTGGCGCGGTTGGCCCGGGTTTGGGCGCAGGCTTGGGCGTGGGCGGTGGTGTGGTGGTGGCTTTCTTGAGTATTGGTGGCCTGGTTGTGGCTGAGCGCGCAGGTAGGCCGGCACCGAGCTCCTCCAGGATGGCGTCTGACCAGATTTGCGTGCGGATGTCGGATGGGAGGTGTGTGAAGAAGGGGAACTTGCGAACGGGGAGGTTGGCCGGTCCTGGTTGCAGGGTCCGGAGCAATTACACGGAAATACACATTGCAGTTGAATTGCAGCTGCAACGCCCCACATAAATCAATGCAACTGAAGGCTTCCAAAACCCCTGCAATTCAACCTGGCCCTCTGCAACGTGGATCCATTATTGCAGACATTGCAGAATAGTGGGTCCTTCTTAGCAGGTGATAGTGATTAATAGTAATTTGTATGGTGAACACTAACATGAAGCGGTCAGGGCATCGGCAGAACTCCCACCGCCCTAATCCCAGTCAATTCGCAGCTCAAGCTCTGACGAGCTCGGCATTCTGGCCTACCTGCCACCATAATGGCTACAGAAGCATCTGCTGCCGTCGCCGCGGTTCCTACACGTACTGAAGAAGACCTGGCCTTTCTCTTCAAGCGATTTCCCGGCTACCTATTCACTGAACGCAAGGGGCCAGCGTGGTCGTGGGTATGGAAATTCGGGTATGATATTTCACGCGACGGCAAAGACCGTGTATGGGTATGCCTTCGATGTATCCAACAACGCAACCGGAAGCCAGCCGCCTATAACCCACGAAATCTTGTGAACGTCGAGATTCATCTCTTTAACTCTCACCAGCTTAGCGATCCTACCGGTAAGCGACCGCCGCCTTCTGCCGTCAAGCCCCAACGCGAGAGCAGCAATTCGAGATCCATCGCCACCTTCTTCAATCTCAATGCGAACAACGCCGAAGATCAGAGGATGGCCAACCACTTGATCAGCGCGTTCGATAGAGCTGAGTTTCAACGAAGGATTGTAAGATGGCTCATCAGCGCCAATCTTCCTTTCCGCACAGCTGAACACCCTTATCTTCGCGATGTCTTCTCCTACCTCAACCCCTCTGTCGACATTCAAAAAGCCAACCTCTCCGAGAAGACTGTTCACGCCCTCGCTGTACGAGAGGTTGAGCGGCATAAGGATGCGGTGGTTAAGACGCTCCAGGAGAGCCCCGGGCTGGTTCATCTAGTCTTCGATGGATGGACTTCACGCAACCGCCTCTCTCTCTACGGCGTGAGCGCAGTCTTCCGAGACGAAGAGGGCACGCCTCACAAGATTGTGCTCGGTCTGCCAGAGATGAGTGACCGGCATACGGGTGAGAACATCGCGGAGGCCATCCTCGATGTTATTAGAAACTATGGTATTGAAAAGAAGATTGGCTACTTCACTGTCGACAACGCTACAAATAACGACGCCGCGTTGAAAATAATCGGTGAGAAGCTCGGCTTCCAGTGGTAAGAGAGGAGAGTTCGATGCTTCGGCCACATCATCAACCTAGTAGTTAGAGCACTACTCTTTGGTGTAGAATGTGATGCCTTTGAGCGAGAAGTCTCTACTAGCCTACTCACTACTCAACATGAGCATGAGCAATGGAGGAGGAAAGGCCCCATTGGTAAGCTTCATAACTTCTGTCAGGTATGTGCATCTCGCCTTGTCAACCTACCTATCACTGACCGTGAGAAGGAGGTCAACAGGTCAGACCTCTGGACCAAGAAGCTCATCTCGGCGCAAGAGCAACGGATCCGAGAAGCCTCCGAAGGTGAGAAGATCAAGAAACACACGCCGGTCGGAGTGGTGACAGACAACGCTACGCGGTGGCTCTCTCAGTACTTCATGATGGAACGCGCTCTTCAACTCCAGCCTTTCTACGAGACCTTCCTCTTTGAGGCGAAGCTTCACGTTGACTCGCAGTTCCGGACGACAGCAGGCACTCTAAAGAAAGGCGCGAAGGAGCCGCTCTTCTTAAATGAGGAGAACAAGTTGACCGCGAACGACTGGGAGGTCATCTCTGTGTTGAAAGAGATCCTTCTCGACTTTGAGCTCGTTGTGAAAGCTCTTCAGGGCGACGGTCAACCTCGTGAGAAGAAGCGCAGCTCCTGCGATGAGCCGATCAGTCTAGTACAGGGAGCAAGCTGGGATCTTCTCGATGGGTACGAGTTCCTCCTTGAGTCTCTCGAGAGAGCGAAGGCGAGAGTTGAAGACCTCGTTGACGGCGAACACGTCGCTATTAACGTCAACAACGCATGGATGAAGCTCGACAAATACTACGAGAAGATCGGCCAGTCTCCTCTCATCTACGCTGCCACCGCATTGCACCCTCGGCACCGATGGGGTAGGTTCGAGGCGTGGCGTGAGCATCACGCTGACTGGATCGAGCCAGCGAAGTTACAAGTCCGAGAACTCTGGAGGCAACAATACCGAGACCTACCAGTCGAGCAGAAAGAGGCTTCAGAACCACCCACGAAAATCCCCCGCCTCTCGAGCAACAGGTTCGCAATCTTCAGAACCCAGGAGCGAACTCCAACAAACTCAGCACCCACCTCTCCTTCACCCTTTCCATCGCCAGCGCTGGTCGAACTTGACGAGTTTGAGCGTTGGCAACTAGATAATAGCGACTTTGATCGGTACGAGGAGGATCCCCGTGCCTACTGGCACAAGAGAAGGAACACCTACCCACGGCTTGCGCGCATGGCGTTGGATCTACACACGGTGCTTCCTATGAGCGCCGAAGTTGAGCGCTTGTTCAGCGTTACTGGCCATATGGTTACTCCTTTACGCAACCGGCTACAGGCGAACACAATATCTCTCTGTCAGATCCTCCGCAGCTGGTACGATGCCGGCGTGATTGATGATCTCGATCCAATACTGTCATGGAAGACACACGGACACATGGAAGATGATTGATGATAGCTAGGGTTAGGGATTTGTATGGAAATTTGGACCCACTTCTCCCATTTTGGGTTAGGTTATTGCCCCACAACGGGGCCCACAGTTCGGCCCCACCAATTTCAACATGTTGCATCCATTTCAACGAGTGCCTTCCGTGGATCAATTCAATGTGGCTTCGCTTACGTAAGGTGCAATTACACTGCAACGGGCTGGTGACATTGATGGGAGTGTAATTGATCCGGACCCTGCCTGGTTGTGGTTCTTTTGGGGCTAGAAAGGCTTCGGTTGATCTTATTTCAAATGGAAGGATCGGTTCCGGTCTCGCTGGCTCTGAGGACGCCATCTTGATCGATGAAAATTGGACAGGTACCTTACCAGGTGTTGTTCTACTACTTGGGCCTAGGTCGGTCGGTACCTAGGTATGATTTGGGCTTGGGTTGGCGTTGGGGAAACAATTTTTGAATACCCCAGAATATATACAAAAACTGGCACAAAGCAAATATATATGACCTGTTCTAGTTAAGTGTTCTTAGCCCTTGAACAATACCTAGGTATGCAACATAGGTAGGTAAACAACCTGATTTTCAACCACCCTCTGTTGACCCGTATTATTATCTCTTTCCGTCTCATTGTTAGTCCCCACGCAGACTAACACGAGCAAGCAAATTACATCCAGCCTTGGTCCCAATGCCAAAATCATCCCTCTCGAATTCAAAATCAGTTGCCGTGGCGCCCTCCACTTCGAAATCAAAGCGCTGAACGAGGGCAGCCAGAGCCACGTACATTTCCGCCCACGCCAGACTAAAGAGTTAGTAAACCCATCGTCAGCGCTCTCGAAAGCAAAGAACAACACCCCAAAAAGAGAGAAAAGAGAAAAAAAAGGAAAAAGAAGAAAAAATATAAAGTCAAAAACTCACTGCATCCCCAAACACCCCCTCGTCCCCCTCGAAAACGGCGCGAACCACCTCCTCCCCCCCACCCTCCCCCTTCCACCCAGGCCACCCCCCCCATCCTCTGCCGCGGGCATCCACCGCCCCGGATCGAACCGCATCGGGTCCGGGTACAGCGCTTCATCCGTATGCATCAGCAGCGTCGTCATGCCGACGGGGGTGCCGGCGGGGATGCGCCAGGCGTTGTAGAAGAGGTCCTTGTCGGAGATGCGGGCCGCGCGCGTCGCGACGGCCGGGCTGAGGCGCAGGCCTTCGGTGAGGACGGCGGTGAGGTAGGGGAGTTCGGAGGAGGGTTTTGAGGGGGAGGGTTTTGGGGGTGGTGTGTGGTGGTGGTGGTGGTGGCGGCCGGAGTCGAGCTCCTTGTCGTAGTCCGGTGGAGGATGGGTGGGGTTGGTGAAGACGGTTGGAAGAAGATCAGGCGGAGGGCGTTGGCGGTGGTTTCGTAAGCCTGCGCCGCTCACGGGTGCCTACTTCTTGATCGGATGGCGTCTGAAGGTCTTGCCGGCGGGTGGGAAGGTTGGAGTGCATCGAATGGCATGGACGAAGGGTGTTTTGCAGCTTGGGGTCTGAGGACGAGGATGTCACGGCGGCTAGGGTCTCTCGCGTGTCATGCTCAAATTGCTACCATTCATGGATCAGCTATCAGCAACGAACTTTTTGGTTTGGGCTACTGTCAGAGTAACTTGCCTTGAGAAAGCGGACGAACGACTTCGTGCCTTGGTCGGCCGTCTTGTTAACCCAGTCCACGGGCATCGCCCTAAGCGCCGGACCGTACCAGCGTATAAACTTGTTCGTGCGCCAGAACTTTCCCGTGCCCAACGACGCAACCGACAAGGCGTAATTAAAATCATCCGCGTCAAGGTCGTTGTACTTCTTGCCCAAGATGAATTCATTCGCGATGTCCCGGGCCAAGGCCCCCGTGGCTGCTCCTAGGTTAACAGTGGTTCCGGCAAAGCCAGCGATGCGCTCGCAGAACTTATCCACGTTCTTGAGAACTATATCCTGTCGAGCATCAATCTTGGCTTTTGAGAACAGGGGCGCTATAGCACTACGGTGCGCCTTGTGGGCGTCATGGTCCGACCTCAAAGATAGTTGAATTCCCGCGCGCCAAAAGCATTGTATGTCCAAGCATACTTGTCCCAACGGCCGTCCATGCGGTAGAGGACTTCGAAAAAGGCCGGGTCACTGACATGGAGCTCGTAGGGGCTGATACGGATGATTGGGCCTGCACGAGGTAAGTTGTTGCAGGTTCAAAAATATGAACCGAACAAGGGCGCAAGGACTTAATTTCTTACCGTATTGCTTGTGCAACTCCTTGATTTTGCGGGTGTATTGCCCAACCTTGATGAGGTCGTAGTAGCCCTCATACCAACGTGAGACAGCTGCCAGCTTGGGACCAGGAAACCGAGCAAGGGGATGGAGAAATAGACGATAGAACCCGAGAGTCAAGTAGTAGACGAAAACTATCCCAACCAAATTACCCCAGGAGAGGAGCCCAGCAACAGACTCCATAGTGGTAGAATGGGAGCAATGTAACGCACTGTGATTAAGCTGAGGGAGAACAATGGAGACCTGAATCACTTAATAGTCCAACCCAAATTTGTATACAACACAGCGGGGATTGATTTTGTATACTTCGTACCAAGTCTGTCTGTCGAAGGTGGCAGTGGTTCCGATAGGTCTCCCAGGTCTCCGATAAAGTCCGACTATAAAAGTTCCGAGGCGAGTGTGTTCAATGGGTGAGATTGAGACCATGAGACGTGGCCCCGCAGAAGCATTCACCCACTCAGCGTTGCATTGTTCTTGCATTGGTTGCTCTATCCCGAGTGCCTGGGAGATCTTTGCCTGACAAGCTCAGCGCTGACGAAGCATGTATGTACAACACCATCAGACAGGGCGTACTGGGATCTTTTCCGGGATGGCCTTCAGTGAATGGCAGGCACTCACTTACCTTTCCCAGCGGTGAACCATGACTTCGGTTTCTTCGTATGCCCAATCCGGTGGGCTCGGACTTGCGCCGCGAATCCCCACCCACACAACGCAATATGAGCGCTGCCCCAGGACAAAGTGTTCATTGATCATTCATTAAGATTATACCTACAAACCCCAGACCAGCAGCCCATGCATCCTGCCCCATCCATGTGCGCCAGCCAGGGAACGACTCATACCAAACAGAGATAGTATACCCATACACGCGGAACGCCTCGCATTCCTGCCACCTCCCGCCCACCCCTACCCCTATCCATCCATCCATCTTGGTTGGATCTTCCGTCATCCCGTTTCGTCCCCCTCGAAAGGCAACCAACTCCCAGAACCCACAACCAACCCGTTTCCAAGCCCTGCCAGCCTAGTGCTACTTGTGATCCAGTGCAGTTGCTCCTGTTTGCCAGCCCCGTGTCCTTCCTTCAAATGGCCATCCACCCCTGTCGCCTGCGGTTGACACTCGCCCCGCCCCGATTAAACTCATACAGAGGAAAACAAAGAAAAACAATGGTAAAAGAAATTAGATATAACGTTCGCGAAACTCGACGCAACGCGTAGACCCCAAGAGGCAGAAAGGCGAGGAGGGGAGAAACCATCAAGAAGGACGGGCCGGTTGTCCACCCTTCACGATGAAAACCCCCTTCGCCGATTTCCGGGCTTCCAAAATCCCGGCATGCCACACGCCACCACCGCAACCCCCAGCGCGCTCTAGCGTTCGGGGATGGGGGTCTTGGCTAGCCTCCCGCCGGCGCTGACGCGTTTCTGTAGCCGCGCGTCGCGTTCGCGCTTATCATTCTGGCTTGACATGGCTGTGGCGCCCCCCGGCGAGTCATATGAGCCTGACGCCTCCATGGCCGCCTTGCGGCCGCGCTTCATCTCGATGTAGGCCTGCGCTGCCAGGCTGAGCGGGACCTGGGGCAGCGAGTCTGGGATCTCGGCGCCGTTTTGGATGAGGAGCTCGGCCACCGGGAAGGGTACCACCCGGTCGGCAGTCGAGGTTGGAGATGCCAATGCCTGTGTTGGCAATGGGGAGGGCGGTGCCGGGTCTGCCGCCGCGAGGGCTAGGTAAATGGCGTGCGTGCCGCGCGACTTGTCGGCGACGTTGGGGCTCGCGCGGAGGGCTAAGGCGTATAGAATCTGTTGGATCTCGTTGCGCTTGATGCCGGCCAAGAGGGTGTCTTCTGGCGTGCCAAATCTCGAGAGCGTCGCCGAGATCGGCTCGACGTATGCCCGCTCGACGTATTTGGCATTGATGAACCTGAGCCTCTGCTCCCGGTTGGCCTGAGCCGTGAGCTTTGCAGCTGGATCCAGCCTGGCCTCGAACACCATGTTAGACACCCTATTGCCAACAAGGAGAAGCAGTTCAATGATATCGGGTGTGAACGAGGTCGTGTCAAGTGTAAGCGACCGGACCTTGCTGATGTGTGTTCCTAGGGATCGGTGAATGCCGCTGCACTCGATGCAGACGATGATGGCGAGGTTCAGTGAAACCCACTCGACTTTGTTGTTGGACCCGCAGTCGGCGCACCAGCAGTTCCCTTGGTCGTTCTCGCGGAGCATTTGCAGCAGCTTATCGGGCTTGTCTTCGAAACTGCTGCCGCGCGAAGTGCTGGGCCGGGCACCAACGGTCGTTCGTCGGAAGGGGATGGCGTTCGAGTGACTGGAATGGCTAACAGACGAGCTCTTGCCGACCAGCATGGAACCGATATCGACCCCATTGAAACCCAGGTCAGCGTGGGCCGTCGATGGCTTGTCCTTGAACGTCCGGCCCTCGACGGCGCTTTGTAGCGCATTATTGATGGCCATAATCCAACTATTCATATCCTCTTCGGATGTTGCTTGGTAGACCCGCTTGTACTGAGGTGTGATGACTTCGAAGCAGAAACGGCGGTCCGCGTTTCTGGCCTCCCGGACCGATGCAAGGCGTAGGTCGATGGGCTCCATGTGAAGATCGAGTTTCTGCTTCCAGTTGCTGTACTCAGACAGCTTTCCTTGGTCAAGAACAATCCAAAACCTACCACGCTGTTAGTGAGGAATACCGAATTGTAGCATAGTTGGGGACATACTTGTGCCAGCCCTGTTTGTTCAGGTTCCGTGGGTCGACGTGACCTCCGGGGCGGTTCAACGCCCAGAGTAGACCTTCCTTCCTATTCGAGGTATCCTTATCGGATTGCGCCGCCTGGTTGAGATCCCGCTCCTCCAGATCACGGATACCCTTGAACTTGTTGCTCTGGACCGGGCTGCCAACAACACCGTGCTGCTGACTGAGGCTGCCGGGTGATCTTGATAGGTCGCCAACGCTGGGCGAACCGCTCGAGTTTATGGAGCGCGTTGGCCTGAGCTGTGACCCAGTGCTGTCCGCCCGTCCCATCTCCGTGTCTGAGCTTGACTGAGTGCCGTTCGGGTGGGTCGCAGAGGGATTGGGCCCCGAGGCGGTAGAGGGGGGCTCGGGTTCCGTGTATGCGAGACTGCCCTTCTCGAGGAGCCTTCTCTTCTCTTCCCGCTCGACACGCTGATATTGATATTCCTTATCTGCCTCGTGGACTTCAGAGGATAGGGCTTCGAGCTGCGGGAGCAGGTCGTCAACCTTCTTCGCGGCCCGGAGGAAGTACCTGGCTTGCGCATCCGCATATTTGGTGAGGTGCGACAAGACTTCTTGCTCTTTGCGGCCGCCTGAGAGGTCCTGCATAAATGACGAATAGTCGAACCGCTTGAGCTCAAAATTCCTGCGCTTTGTCTGGTATTTGGAGTCGCTCTGCTTTGCCTTGACCGAGTCATGCCGTTGTCCGAGGTACCGGCTAACGTATGCGTAAAACTCCTTGCTCTCTTCTTCAAAGTCTCGTTTTTTGGCCTCGGCCTGCTTAATATCCATCTGGTAGAGCTTGTTTACTGGGTCGATGACGATCTTTTGCAAGTTCATGGTGTTTTGCCGCTCGTACTGCAAGATTTCGCGGGCAATCTTGTCAAAGTAGTGTTCGATGGCAGGCTGGACAGCATTTGCGTTGGTGGCTGAGACCTCCTTGAGGGCGTCCATGAAGGAAGCAAACGCGTCGTTGGCCTCCTGCTGCGACTGATGCACGTATTCGGCCTTTTTGATCAGTCGCTTCATCTGCATCCTCATGTTGCCGGTCTTCTGCTCTAGAGACTTCATGGTGGCCCGGAAGAGTGGCCCATCGTCCGACATGGACATATCCTCTGCCGGTCGAGGGCAGGACACATCCACCTTGATGGGCTCCTTTAGGGCTGAGGTCGCAGATGGCAGCGCGCTGATCGGATCGCCAAGAGTTTGTTGCGGTGAAACAACCTCTTCGTGTTCTGGGATGGTACTGATTTGGGACTCGAGTGATTGTGCAGACACGACGCGGACCTTCGGCGGAGCGCTCAGAAGTGGCGGGGTGGGGGAGTTAGGTTGGCTCAAATAAGGGAAGGTGTCTGATACGTAGGTAAGTATGGTCCTATAACTGAAAAGCCTCCTTAAGGAACACCTACTTGCGACATAGAATGAGAAGCTGGCCAAGGTGATGAGCCGGTGGGCCCGCTGGTCGTACTCGACAAACTACACATATACATTAGCCATTGTATCGCAGCGAGCATTTGGAAAGGGGTGCCAACGCTGCATGTATTCCTCCAGCCGCCGCCCCGGTCCTCGGCCTGCTTGGGTGGTTTCCAGCGCCATGTCCAATCAAAGGTCACAGAAGAGCTGCCGTCGGTCGAGTAGGTACCGACAAGAGCAACATTCGCATTCTTGTGAAGGTTTGGGTCGGCGTGGAACTCGCGAGTCACCAAGTTCTCGACTTCTCGGGGTGTCGACGCGAACACGAACGTCAGGCCGTTGAGCTGGGTGTTCGTTGTAGCTACGGTATCACCACTTCCTGTTGGACTCTGAACACCATTCTGAGACTGGCGAATGATAAAGCTGAATGTGAAGACGAGCTCATCTTCGTTGGAGAGCTTCAACAGGAAGGCGGGACCGGAGCCAGAACTGGCTGACTCGGCATCCTACAACAATAACGACGTTAGACACCGTTACTATAACCCAGAGACAACAAGCTTGAGGGAGGACTCGGCCACTCACTAGGACAAACTCGACGGGGGTAGAGTCGCCAGATCCCCTCGATGCGGATACTCTTGTAGCCGGAAATGCATTCGGAACGATACTTATTGGGGTACGACGTTTCGGACTAGTTATGACAGCGGAAGAGATGGATACTGCGAGCAAGAGGAGTTAGCATAAAGGCTTCAATTTGCGCAAAGCAAAGCACAACAAGCGCACCAAGCACGCTTTCGATAGGCAGCCGGTCGCGCAAGGCGCATTCAATTACGCGCTGAGCATTGCACAGACCGGGGCATCGCTTCGCTGAGTCGCACGGCGGGGAAATCCAAAACTTACAGCGATTCTGATCTCTAAGATAGAGAGGTGCGCCCTCATCGGGCACGCTGCTAACGTTGCCCATATCGGCGCCGAGGATGCTGGGAGCGGGCACCGATTATCGGCAGGGTGGAAGGAGATATTCAAGTCGGTTGATGGTGGTCGGCAGTTGTTGAAATCTAAACGGAGTTCTAGGTTGGCGACTGGCGGGCGGTTCGCAGCGGCGCAGCGGGGTTGCCTGCTCAAATTCAGATGCAGACTGGCAGGGGCATTCGGGACACGCAACACGGCCTTCTGAAACCCTGCAGGCCCCCAAGCCAGGTGCGCCCTGTAACAGTCGCTTGAGTAAAGCCCCTGTAATTCACGAGATCCACCCGGAGCATTGGAGAGTAGAGAAGAACACTGGAGGTTCCATACTTCGTTACACGGGACACCAGACACTAGAACCACCCCACGATAGGCAGGTCTCTCTTTTGGAGTCTTGATTTTTTGACCTTCATCAGCGTTTAATATATGTGCTGATAGTCCGTATTGTTGGAAACTCCAGGTCCCACCTCGGGGATAATACATTCTAGAATTCAGAGTCCAGAGCAATCTATACACACATTGGATAGGTAAGGTACCTAGTTGCAAATATTTACCTCCGTACTCCGTACGCTCCCAGCCACGGCCACGAGGCGAAACGTCAGCTTGGGCTTGCGAGGAATGGCCCGTGGCACGGGGGTGCTAAATCGGTCGTGTGAACCTTTAGCGTGCTGACAAGGGACCGAATGACGTCTTTGCAATCAACGTCATCTCGGCGGATAAAACAACCCATCGGAGTCACAAGATGCCAGAAGTAAAGAAAGGCTTATTCCAACCTGCCTGGTCATTTTCCAGGTTGTCTTTTCAGTTTCTCGCCCTGGACACCTGGTAATTACAACTCGGTGCACGTCTTGCCTCCTATTGAGGGCGGGGCGTTCGTATTCCCACTCCAAAGCCGAGAAAAGATGGAATTGACCCCACGTGAGCCTCCAGTCCCATTCTATTTCGGGACCATCCACTGCCGGTCTTTGACAACAAGTTGTGGTTCGAAAAGACAGATTCATTCCACATCTCGGAAAGATCCGAAAGGATTACTGGATGATGGGAATGAAAATGTCCCTCAACGCCAATTCCATGCGTAAGGATCATGGATTGACACCAACATGGAAGAGAGAACCCTCACATGTTCGAGGACAAAAGGTGGTGACCTTGACTAGGGACAGTTGTTTGTCGAGGCCAGGCATATTCTCGAGGACACGGAAACGCAGGGATGTATGCAGATGTAAGTATGTGCTTTGTAGTTACAGACATGCGTCTTGAATGCTTACTTACCCTCCATTACTCTTACCACGCCGCCGACTTGCATGCATAGGTTAATAATGCGACCTTAGTTGGGGGATGGCCTCCCAAGATGATCTGGCAAGCTAGCTTTGGAGAGATATTCCCGATCGCTCAAAATACAGAGAATATGCGTGTATGTGGGCGAAGGTTGGACGCACAATGGTGAAACTTGCTAGCGCTGTTACGAGGTGCTCCATAGCGCGCAACATCCCTGCCCACTCAACGAACCCCTCCACTTCGGTTGGTGGCCCAGAAAACCATCCCAGTCCCTCCAACAGCGGTATGTAACGAGGCGTATGACGTCCCTGGTCCAACCTCCTCGAAACGCCAATCTCTGCGATTTCATCCTTTCTTTGTTGCCAGCCACGACCTGCGAGAAAGCACCAGCGCGCTCTGCTTGGAGTTGTTCCTGCTTGCCCTTGTGGTGTTTTTTGCAACCCTTGTGCGCTCGCTTTTAGCGCGCCGGTGCTTTAACTGCTGCCCCTGTTGGCGCCATGACGACGGGCGCTTGACGTTGGCCGACCATCGCCCAACAGCCCCGCCCGACTTCCGACTCCTGGCGCCACCACCCCCGTGCGTGTTGTCGACATGTCGACGGCATCCCGATCCTCCTACCATCCCAGCCGCCGGGTCGGCAGCGTGCAGAGCGTGCAGAATGAAGACCGACCGAATCGCACACTATCAAAAGCTGCCCGCGCTGTGGCAAGCGTCAGCTACGACGATGCATACTCTTTCGCCCTCCGCGTCGCATTTCTCCGCTACCTTCTCCAGCCCAGAAAAAAAAGAAAGGAGTATGTCAGCGCTCCCAAGCCGCTTCCGCGTGTCCACACCTCGAGCGTAGCCGAGCTCGTCAAGGAACTCGTACCTTCAGGTTCGGCCTCGATGAAGCTGCCTTCTGGTTTTCGCCACTCCCTCGAAAAGCGCATGTCCGGTGTCCTCCAGGGCATCGAGAGACTGCCTGGATTTAGCGATGCTGCCGTGAAGCGGACATTTGCCGAGGCCTACACTGCGTTTACCGCCAAAGACTTCCAGAAGTCAATCGACAAGGACCGCAAGGTCGAGCCCCTAGTTCTGATCTTTTACTCGGCGGCCTCAAAAGCGCAGGGCCGAGGAAAGCCGGCCGAGGATCACTCGTGGAAGGTGCTTGTTGATAGGCACTTGGCTATGTTTATCCGGCTTCTCAGTAGCATCCTCAGAGACAAGGGCGATATCGAGCTCGTGTCCCGCCTCAACACACTGGAGAAGAAGCTCATGAGCAATGACCAGAACCTCTATCTCGACACAGGCCAGCAGGACCATTCCTATGTCGAAGTGGACATACCCCTGAGCTACGAGGTCAAGGACATGCACATGGTGCAGCTCGTTGCCAAAATCTTTGGCGTGACCAATTCTCAAGTGCAGGCCGACATCGACCGGAACACATCCGCTTGGACCGAGGAAGCGGCGCTCAAAGATTACAAGTCGTACCAGTTCAGGCTCTCTGCCGGCATGGCTGGGACCCTGCGAAAGCAGGACTTTGATGTGGACGAAGCATACGAAGACTGGAGGCGGGGAGAGGCCCCCCACTTGGCAAAGATCTTTGCTGAAATACTGATTGCTCGCCCTGACCTGAAGGGGGGATCTGGTGGAGGGATCGACAAGCCGCTCCCCGTTCGCCATTCCATGTATGAGGACCAGGCGTATGCGGACCTGAGCCGGATGCTCTCGAACCCAGAATCCCCCGCGCCTAGCCTCGACCCCTCGTTCGGCTTTGGGTCGCTCACTTCTGAAGAGACATCTAGCATCCGGGCAGCCGACGGGCCAAGCTACACCTTTATCCCCCCAGACCCCCGCTCCGTCTACAAGGTTATCCTACAGTACGTTGTGTCGTACGATCAGCTTCACTCGGATACCTCTGTCTCGCCTCTGTCCGAAGAGACGTCGGATTTCTTAATAGAACTCGCCGTGCGCTGGCGGATACCGCAGTTCTCCCGGTATGTTGCCTTCGTCGAGGTCACGACTCGCAAGTTTCTCGACCAAGAGCTGCCTCCGGAGCAGTTGTACGAATGTCTAGATCTCGTGAAGCAGCCTCTAGAGGAGCCCAAGAAGCCGATCCTCATCCAAGGGTACACGTCCAGCCTCAGTGACATTGGACCCAGCACATGGACAATAGTTGATTTCGCAGGTTACCAGCAGTCGTTGAAGGACCTCCATGATGCCCTGCTGCGGGATCTCTATACTCTCCTCATGCGATGTTACGAAGCAAAGCCGCCCACCGTCGGTGTTGTAATGGCGTTGCTCAACACCCACGTCTACCCCGATCCCGCGTTCTCGCAACGACCTGAAGACGCAGCCGAGTTCTCTCAGCGACTTGACAGCGGCCTCCGTCAACAGGCCGCCCAGTCGTACAGAGATGCCTTGGACAAACACATCCCGCGTAGCCAGAAAGAGTGGGATTTCGGGCACGTAGTCAACTTGGGTAAAGCCGTTACCGAGCTCGCCGAGAAGATCAAGAAGCGGTACCGCAAGAACCCCGAGATCATGGGCGTAAGTCCGTTCAGGGCACTGGTTGAAACGACGCTCCCCAGTTTTGAAGAGGATAGTCATGAGATCATCAAGCGCGTGCTGCAAATTTCCAAAGAAAGCGGTATCGAGATTGACATCCAGGACGGGTTTGACCTATACCGGGAACTTGTCGACATTAAAAAGATGCATGTGGAGGCGCTCCCGGGAAAGCCCTTCGGATTCCACATCGAAGGCCTCCTAGAGAGCTTTGTATGGCGGTGGATCAAGAACGCCGACGACAGAATGCCGGGGTTTATCGAGGAGGCAATCAAGCAGGACGCGTTCAAGGTACGGACTCGCCACGAAGGAGACATACCGACCGACGATGAGCGTCACAGCGTTTCCATCATCGACATATTCACGCTGTTCAGCCAGACAGTCGACCAACTGCTCCAGCTCGAGTGGAACGATGAAGTCCAGCTAGCGCGTTTCACGACTGCTCTCGCCAAATCGTTTGCCGGGGCCATCGGGACGTACTGCGACGTTGCGTACCACCAATTCAAACACGAGATGGATCGGGAGGCCGAACAGCAGCAGATGGCCGCGGCGCAAAAAGGAACGGGGAAATGGTTCCAGTACGCGAAGGACACAATCAACCCTGAAAAAAGGATTGAGCCATTCCAATTTTATCCCCAGGTGAGCAGCATTACGTGTCCATTGGACAATTTGACCGTTCTTGGTTGCTAACTTCTCTCTAGTCGTTTGTCAAGTTCAATAACATTGAGTGGGCTATGCAGGTTTTGGACAAGCTGGGGGAGCGCATGAATGTGGACGCTTGCGCCGAGATTCTCAACCGAGTTGACGCCCCGAAACAATCTGCGAGGAGGAAGACGACGAAATATGTGTTCACGGTTAAGATCGTGGAAGGTGAGGACCTGAAGGCCTGTGACGCGAACGGGTACAGTGACCCTTACGTTGTCCTGTGCGACGAGTACCAAAAACGCCTTCACCGGACGAGAGTCATCAACCGGAACCTCAACCCGCGCTGGGACGAGGCGTTCGATATCACGGTAGATGGACCGTTGAACTTGATTGCGACCATTTGGGATTATGACATGATCGGAGACCATGATTTCGTCGGCCGCACATCACTAAAGCTCGACCCGGTGCATTTTGGCGACTATCTTCCGCGGGAGTTCTGGCTAGATCTGGATACTCAAGGGAGAATCTTGATCAGGGCCTCGATGGAGGGCGAACGTGACGATATTCAGTTCCATTTTGCCAAGGCTTTCCGACATCTCAAGAGAACGGAGCGGGACATGGTGCGCGCCGTCACCAGCAAGGTATGTACAGTCGGCCGGGTTACGATCCGTCGGTTTGAGAAGAACCAGTGCTAACCAAAGCAGCTATCCATGCACATTAACTTGTTACTGTCTCGTGACTCTCTGCGTGGCCTGCTGAGCAAGGGTATCACCGCCTCCATGGCCAATCTCTGGAAGAAGAGGCAATCCCAGGCGCCAAGCATCACACCTCAAGAGGTGGAGGAGGCGCTCCGGCCCCTATTCACCTACTTCGACGAGAACTTTGCCATCATGAAGCAGACCCTCACAGACGCAACCATGATGGCGGTCATGACGCGCCTGTGGAAAGAAGTGCTCCTTGCCATCGAGAACCTGCTCGTCCCACCCCTGTCGGACAAGCCGTCCCTCCAGAAGCCGCTCACGCAAGCCGAGTTGGACGTCACCTACCGCTGGCTGGAGCTACTGTATGACTTCTTCAACGCGAAAGATCACGAGTCGGGCGAAGTCCTCGGAATCCCTGTCGACATCCTCAAGTCGCCTAAGTGGCACGAGTTGGTGTCGCTCAACTTCTTCTACTTCGACACCAGCGAGAACCTGATCCGCACCTCGGAGCGTATGGCCGCCGCCAACGCGCAGCGCGCGCAGCAGCAGGCACAGCAAGCGCAGCAGCAAGCACACAACCACCACACCAACAACAGCAACCGGCTCTCGATGTCCTCGTCCAACATGCTCGGGGTCCCGTCGATGGGCGGGGCGTCGGGGATCGGCAACGTGCCCTTCGGCAGCCTGGGCACGATCCGGCGCGGCAAGAGCATCATGATGAGCCGCAACCTGGGCACGATGCGCAAAGCCAAGGAGGAGAAACGCAAGGAGGCCCAGGCCGACCCCAGCGACGACATGATTCTGCGCATCCTGCGCATGCGGCCCGAGGCCGCCCACTACCTCAAGGAGAGGCAGCGCCAGAAGGAGCGCATGACGGCCTCCCGCGCCGCCGCCATGATCCTGCGCCAGAGCGTCAGTCAGGGGCTGGCGGGCGGGGGCCCTGCGTTTGGGGGCGCGCTGTATGGGAGGAACAGTCTGCCGAGTAGGTGATTTTGCGGTGGTTTGTTCCCCTTTTCATGAAAAGGTGGCAAGGGTGGGGGTAAGGTGGGGAAGAAGACGAGTGATGATGGCTTTTATATCTTCATTTCTCTGTTTTTTACCCGTGGTTGCTTTTACGATTCTCCCCTGATTGGGGTGGTGCTTGTTTGTTTATTTATTTGGTTGGTTAAGCGGATAGGGCGTTGGGGAACAGGCAATACCCGACAGTTTCTTACCAGCCTGGGGACGTTGTTTAGAATGATTGATGGGATCGCGATGACATTATCAATGGCTGGCGTGAGTGTTGCACGCTTAATTGGTCAGTTGTGCCGTAGTGTGTATGTGCCCAGTCCGTATTATCAACCACCCTACGACCAAAAAAGAAACACGGGATACATTGCCGACTTGTAGTGAATCCATCGGCGAGTTTGTTAACATTATACCACCCTTGAGAGCAAATTGTATATTGAGTACCAGGAAAGATGGTTGTAGAGTGTGATGCAAATAGAGAGGGTAGGCGTCAAGGACTGTATTGTCCTATATTTTCTCAACCTCGGGTTCGTCGAAACCTTGCACTTCCACTTGAATTCAGGCCCATTCGAGAAAAAGGAGGTTGTGTGGACTCACGCTCCCCCCATCGTTCCTACCCAGGTTACGAGTTACCTTCCCACGGAAACGAAAACAGCGAAAATCTTCCAGATTGCAAGCCGTTGAGAAGCCAAACTTTAATTTTTATCCAACTCGGTTTCTTTTATCTTCTTTTTTGTTCTGGTTTTCCTTACTTCTAGCCAGACAGTGTCGACGCACAAACAATAGGGGTGATTTTGCCAAGACTGGCTGCTGGGCGACGGAAAAAAGGAAAGGTGCTGGAGGCAAGCCACAGTGAGGCTGGAGCGACAAGGAGGGCTCGGTGAAATAAATTGGGTTATGACGATGGTTAGGGATTAACGGAGAAAATCCGGCCCAAAAGTAAAAGGAGGAAACCAGAAATATAAAGAGTCATTCACAACACCAAAACAGATACCAGTTATTTGAAATTGAAGCCGTGTTACTAGCCGACGTAGGTTCCGAGCCGACGATTCGGGGACCCGCGCCGAAGGGGAGAGGCCGGAGACTTCGAAATAAACACCCAACCCTCCAGGTTCCTTACCAAGCAAACCCCCGAGTCACACATCCTGCCACATTCCGTATCAAGGTACCTATCAAAACGACATCGGTCTGCATGTCGGCCTTGCGAGTGTTGCGGTCGGAGCGGGCGTTGTCAGCGGGACTCAGTCGACTCCTCGCGCAAACGCAGCAGCAGCAGCTCCCAGCTCTTCGACTGCAGCAACGCTTCGGAGCCCAAAACATGCCGCAGCAGCATTCGACCCGCCCCGGCCAATCACAGCACCGCGGGCTAGCATCACACTCGAAAGAGCCCACATCTGCCTCTCGAACCCCTCCCCCGCCTTGTTCCGATGAAGATCTCTCCGCCTCCAGTGCTGATTCTTCAGCTGTTGCTGCGATCTCGCACCCTGCCACCACAACAATTCCCTCGACTGCTCAATTGCGTCCGGGAAGCTCCCCCATCTCTCGAACAGCCCAGATAGCACAACACTTCCACCAGAGTTACAAGAGCTACAGCACAACCACATCCAGCAGCATGGCGTCCCAGTACACCGTCCGCAAGGTCGGCGCTCCCCACACGCTCGACCACCGCGTCTATATCGAGAAGGATGGCGTCCCTGTCTCGCCCTTCCACGACATCCCGCTGTACGCCAACCAGGAGCAGACCATTCTCAACATGATTGTCGAGATCCCGCGCTGGACCAACGATAAGCTCGAGGTGAGTGGGGGCTCTCTCTCCGTTTGCCCGGCTCGTTCTGGTTGTGGCCGGGCCAGGGAAGTGAACTGACCGTAACTGACATTGCCCGCTGCTAGATATCTAAGGATGAGCTCCTGAACCCCATCAAGCAGGATACCAAGAAGGGCCAGCTCCGCTTCGTCCCTACCTGCTTCCCCCACAAGGGCTACCTGTGGAACTACGGTGCCTTCCCCCAGGTATGGCATGGAAGCCCCTGAATGCATACTCTTTCTTGCGTGTGTAGAGATCTAACGATTACAGACCTGGGAGGACCCCAACTCCATCCACCCCGAGACCAAGGCCAAGGGCGACAACGACCCGCTCGACGTGTGCGAGATCGGCGAGCTGGTCGGCTACACGGGCCAGGTCAAGCAGGTCAAGGTGCTCGGCGTGATGGCGCTGCTGGACGAGGAGGAGACGGACTGGAAGGTGATCGTTATCGACGTCAACGACCCGCTCGCTGGCAAGCTCAACGACGTCGAGGACGTCGAGCGTCACCTGCCGGGCCTGCTGCGCGCCACCAACGAGTGGTTCCGCATCTACAAGATCCCTGACGGCAAGCCCGAGAACCAGTTCGCCTTCACCGGCGAGTGCAAGAACAAGAAGTACGCCATGGACGTCGTCCGCGAGTGCGCCGAGGCTTGGGAGAAGCTCATCACGGGCAAGACCGCTCCCGGCGGCATCGCCACGTAGGTTCCCCCATTTTTGGTGTTAGGGAAGTTCTCGAATACCCACAAAAATAGTACCATCTTTACCGTCAACAACTTGAGCACCCGTGTCTTTCCACACCATTTTCCGCCCCTGCCTCAGAACCAGGAACTCCCGCCGGCCCCGATCGACGCCTCCATCGACAAGTGGTTCTTCATTAGCGGTGCCTCCTCTTAGATGGTTTTGTCGTGCGGAAAAGCGTCGCTGGATAATCCCTCCAGGTAGATCTGGCTTTGAAAAGTAAAATAGTCCTCGTTCGAAAGAATATGATCGACGTTGATACAATCAATTTTTCCCGGACGTATGGTTTGGTTGAATTCGTAAAGTGGTATATTTTTCCGTGTAAGAAAACAGCAAACGCCTCCCAATGCTTCTATGTGTACACCACCACATAAGCAGGTCGTATCGATACAGACAGATGTACATCCAATTCGTTTCCATTCCGCGTATTCAACCGTCCGCCAGGTCGGCCGCCTTTTGTAGCGCACGCGAGTGCCGGTCGACTTCCT